TGTATGTAATTTTTTTGAGACCCTTAAGAAAAAGCCAAAAAAAAAGAAAAAGACCCAAAAGAAAAAGCCATCTAATGGATGTGAATATGTGAYGGAGGCTAGAAAATATCTGTCCACATGCACTTCAAATTATTTGTCAAATATGCTCATTTTCCTGCTCTTGAAGATGCAATGATGTTTAGTTCCTTCTGGGCAATTGCATGTTCAGAATTCTACAGAAACACATAATCTTTTAAAAATAAATTCCAGGAAAGAATGGTATATACTATTGTCTCATTTAACAGGCAGGATGATGGAAATGTAGGATTTTACTCAGGTCTAAAGTAATTCAGTAGCAATACTGCTTTTGTTAGTGGGTATATCTTGGACAACTGGCTGTATGYTCTTTTTAACATTTAAAGCTTATCCTCTTCCTTCTCTTTTTAAGGTCTGGATGGAAACACAGCCAAAGGGAACTTGGGTGAATTTTGTGAACACAGAGGGCTCAWCATTCCACTGTATCTTCCAATGAAGCAAGTTGATTTTCTCCAYGATGAGTTGAAGAAACAGAGGTTGTCCTGGTAAATGAGGTCAGAATTGTTAAATATTAACTTTGCAAATACATGGGTAGGCTTGTGAGTCAGGCCTGCTAACTAGGCAGCATTAAGTCTGGGGAATCCTATATTTTGCTAAGCTGATTGGAGTTTGGCCTCCAGAAAAGAAGTTACTCTGACTTCTGTGTTCAGAAAGTAAAACATGCTCAGAATGCTAAGAATTTTCTCTTCCTGATCTTTCCCTACATCACTTTAACAGTACTTGTGCACAGGATAGGTTATTTTTAGCCTAGATTCCTAAATCCAGGAGAGACCTAATGCAACCTTGCTGTTTGAGTACTGTGGATTTCTCTGGCTAACTTTGTCTGGCTTYAACAGCAAAGCAGCATCTGAAACCAGGCTAAATAGCCTCATAGGCTGGAAGAGACCAAATAATTSTATGACAGGGAGACTGTAACATGAGTATGCAGCAGTGAGGTCCATGGAAAACTGACTTTGTCAGTGTCTGTGCTCATGGAGTTCATTGGTGGATGTTATTTGGTGACAGTCATGTGGAGCACTGTGCTTTCTTGAATATGCTCCATGCTGTCTGAGCTGAGAASCTCTTCTCCCCTTGGAAAACAGAGATTTTCTTGTGGGATCTGGAGTGTACTTGAACTATTCTTAGGAAAGCAATGTTTATTACCTATGAGTTAAAATTTAAACTCAACTGTTGGCCTAATTGCCCTCAGTGAGTMCAACAGAAAGTGCAGGTAGTGACTGAGGACTCATTTCAGCCAGTGATAAGGCACATGGGCAGGACTCTGTGTCAGCAGCCCCTGCTAACAGGTCCTTGCTTTTGAGGTCTCTGGACAGTTCCCATGCAAGGGGAATCTCCTTCAGCACTGTGGGCCTTCCAAGAACATCATATTGTCGTGAGGAGTTGTTGTTTATGTGCAGCCTGGATCTGTGCTGTGATCTATTCTRTTCCTCTCACGTACAGAAGTTATACTCTGATCTGAGTTTTAGCATTAGTTTAGAACATGGCACGTTCAACTTCAAAGAGAATAAACAGGATGAGATTCATTGCTCAGTACATCACATGGCTTCAGTATACCTTAGCTCTCAACAGAGAGCGATGGCAAAATCCTCTTCTGGCCCCAGCACAGGGTGAATTTCATGCAGGAATGCATGTCTTCAAAGCTGTTTAAGCTTCTAGAAATTCAGGTAATATTTAATGGGATTTTAAGAGTTGTGTATTTCACTCATCTTCAGCAAAGCAAATGGTATTAAGGTATACAGTGGTATTTTTTAAAGTATTGTCTGCATCATGAGGCATGTGTTGAAAAATGATACTAGAACAAATCCAGCTCCAAGTGTCCATTTATACTTGTYTTAGAAATTTGCCTCTGACTTGAGTGGGAAGGGACTGTAAAAAGACTTAAGTAATTGGCATCTGACTTCATTATCACCCAATGTGGTTTTATGGTTTATTGAGTAGTTGCCTACAATGAGTGGTCTGTATAGTTTATTTATTTGGTATTAGGAAAAACATTTATATCATTCTGTTATGAATGCTCCTCTTCTGAAGGGATGTGTTTGTCCCCTCTACAGGCCTGCCTTGTCTGTGACATTCAGACAACATTTTCTGGGAAATTGCCATGGCAAGAAAAATTGCATCTCTCCTGTCCTCCTCCTGCTCTGCTCTCCCTGCAAAGAATATCCTATTGTTTGTGAAAGGTAAATGCTTTGGGTAGCAGCTGCAATCTACAGTGTGATAGATGGTTAATCTTAATAGTGGTGGTTTAGTGCATAAGCCAAGTTCTCACTATTTGAAAGTGAAAATGGAGCTGTTGGGCCTCACACTGTCCCACTGCTGACCACTGAAGATTTGCTAAGCTGTCATTGTTTGAGAAGCTTTTGGTGGAGGCAGCAGGCTAAACCTCAAGATGACTCTATACATCAACTTCCTTCTAGTCCCAGCATGGACTTTCAGATGTGTCTCACTCCTGTGTGAAACAGCTTCTATTTCAGTCAAGGTACCAGGGTGAGGAGGGCAGCTTTGTGTGTCACTGTGTTTATGTACCCAGATTACTGAGAARCCAAGTAAGAATGCAGCTGTGAGCCTTTAAGCAGCATGCCATGGAAAAATAAAACACAAARTGTGTATGTGCACTGGGAATGTACCCAGTGTTTTGCACATTCCAGCAGAGGCCTCAGTAAAGACTGGAATTTTAATTCTCATCTGACAACATTCCACGAAGACAACTTACATTCCCTTCCTGCTTCCTYCTCCCAGGAGATTAATGTATAAAAGAAATTGGCTGATTATTTATTCTGCCTTGGCTATCAAATAACTGTTAGAGTGCCAGCAGTCAGATTAGCTGGAGTACTTTTGTTTAGTTCCTCATTTGGGTTTTCTGGGATTCGTTAGTGTTAGCCGTTTTCCTCCCTATATATTGTCATTCAAAATCAAGGTYAGAAATGTCTCCAGCTACGTGGTATCTCTGCAGGGACTCCTCAAGTTTCTTTTTACTGCACACATGGTCTGAGCCCCACATGCCTGTTGGTAGAGTACACGTCAGGAAAGAGGTGAGGCAGTGACTCACGTAAACTCCTTAACAGCACAATGAAAGTACAGAACCCCACCTATCTCAGTAGGAACAAAGGTCTTGAGCTGCACAGCGCCTGCTGTGCAGTATTCTTATGTTTATTCCAATTTTTTTAGTTCTGAATACAAATATGGAAAGTAGGCCCGTGTTCAAGGAATTTGAATGAAGGAAATGTTGGGTTTGGAACTGAAATCAGTGTGAGATCAGGAGAACCAGACTTTGCACACAGTCATCTGTTCATTTCTGGATTACAAACTTTATACAAAAAGGTGCAGAAGTCTGTTTCCTTTATATAAGTGGGCCTGCCAGCATTCATAATTATCCCACTTCAGCCACAGCTCGTGACTAAAATAGTCAGTTAGTTGTATAGCTGAAATCATAAAACAATGAGTCTAACCACTTCAAACAAAGATGCTTCTTTTCCTCTTCTAATTCTAGTACTCGTCACAGTAGAACATTTTTTATTGCAGTAACTTCAGTTTAGCACCATTTAAAAAAAAGTGTAATCTTAGAAAGCAAGCACTGTCAGTTGGATTCCCTTCTCTATGCTCTTTGCTTTTTAATTGATAGTCAATGTTTTTTAGAATGTCAGTTTTGGCCTGAGTGTGACATAGCTGTAAGAAGCAGAGCACAAAACCCACAACCTAACACGGGGAAAAGTTACCCTTCTCTGCTTTTGTGATTCTAGACAGCTTCAGCAGCTAGGAAGGTTTACAGTACATAGAGAATATCTCACAAATTACATAGATAACAACGTTGTGTCCTGTAGTACTGTCTTTGGCAGACCTCTTGGACCTGAACTGTCACTGGGATGCTCAGAAGCCACCAGTGTGGTGTGCATTACTTGACTTCATTCTTCTCATATGYCTTTTCCTTGGATAAATGGATGAGAGTCTTTCCTCACAATTTCATTTAATTCCTAGCATAGGCTGAGACCTCTGGAGTTGTCCCAAGAGATGCACTGCAGAGATTTGAAAGCTAATTAACAAATTGGCTGTAGGAGGCAGAGCTATTTTTTCCTCTTTGGTGTACACTACTACTTTTAGGCTCAATSTGAGCTGTCTGCTGGAGGAGATGAGGACAAGCATCACATCATACATACTATACATGACTTACCTGTGTCACTGGGCTGTGCTCAGGGTGGGAGGGAAAGCTGGCCTGCAGCAGTCACACATGGTGGCTGGGAGGGATCTTCTAGGGAGGAAAAGGAGCAAACAATCCATTGCCTGTGCCCTGTTTCCTGTGTCAGCCATTTGGGATGGCCAAGCTGCCTCACCACAGGAGGRCCCCAGGCTATTCAAGGTTCAGTGTTATGAAATTTATTCAGTGCTTATGAAAAAGGCATTATTATTGCCCAAGCCCCCCAAAACCCCTCAGGACATCTCAGAATCCTCACCCCACCCCATTTTCAACAAARGTGTCACATAGTTGAAAGTGACTGTGAGATCAGCTTTCCTTTTATACATGCTCTCTCTGTACCATGTTGGCAGCATTCAAAGGATAGGTGAGTGGAAACTATACCTTAGGAAGACCCTTTACAGAAGGAAAGCACTTATTTGCCTTTGTGTGATTGTTCCTTGGACCCTTTTAGAGAAGACACTGGCTCTGTGCCAGTCTGTCTGCCAGACTGTGCTGTGACATGGGACGCAGTGGAGCTGTTGTGAACACGATGTGCCCTGGCTCCTTCTGCTTAGAACACCCTGAACCTGCACAGGGTCTGTTCACAGCAGATGAGGAAGACAGRGACTTAAAAATTCTTCTCCCCTAATCAAGCTTGAGAAGCAAAGCACTGAGCAGGAGAGCTGGTATGTGGGCTGGCTGCCTAGAAGGTGGCCCTGGGGTTCGGAAGTAAGATCATGTGGTTGTGTCAGTAGGGTTTGCTCCCAGAGATGGCTCTGGCTTAGGAATCGCCCGATGCAGTGAAGCACCTGCTTCCCTTCTGGTAAGGAGGAAGAAGAGTTGTGGGGAGGTTGATGGGCCAGAGTTGGAGCTAGAACATTCTGAAAGCCTTGCTGGGGATTGGCAAATGCTCTGGGACTTTGAGGGCCTGAGTGTATTAATCTRTTTAATTCCTTTTTGCCCAACATCCTGAGCAGTGGCTGGGCATTCTCTGAGTCTGTGAAACACTAACCTAATCCAAAAATGAATGTTCAACTCATTTTCTTTTTTTTGTGGTTTTCTTTTTTGTTTGGTTTATTTAATTGAAAGCAAGGCCACAGTTAAAATCTTGTATTTTTTAGGTTARTTGTAGTCTTAACATTAATGCCTGGTTTTGATATTGCTTACAATAGCAATGAAGCAATTATCTCTTATGGTTGTTATAAATCTCCTTATGTATTTTCCAGAAGTTAATGTAATAATAATAATTTTAAGGCTCTCTTACTACCAGCTGTAAGTCTAATTTTCTAACAAGATGCTGCTAATGGTATTACACTGGCTTCAGCAGTTTTATTTGTGTCAGAGCCTCTCAGAGGGGCAGTAGATTCTTAGCCAGAATTCTTGTTTTGGTCCTGTAAAATGTCATTTTGCTGTAACAGTAGGTTGTTCTTAATAATATATATCTGCTTTATTAATTTATTTTTGTCTAGATTTTGCTGCATCAGTTACTTTTACATTGCTGACAGCCTAACACAATGTAGTACAAATAGATCAGTATCCACAAACTGTCTCAACTGATTGTAATTACATTACTCTCATTTTAGTCAGTACAGCATTTCCTTCACCAGCTGGTATAATTTTGATTGCATTAAAAGTAAAATTCTCAAAACATTACGTTACCTGAAAATTAATTTGAAAAACTATCCCCAGGAGTYTYTTTCATAGTCTGCTTCTGTGAAAAATAAATTGCCATAAGAGGCAAGTAATGTGTAGTCTATCAGCCACATCTTGTTCAAGACCTTCCAGCCTTCACAGTTGTTCTTGGGCAGTCACTGTCTGGGTGCATGGCCCAACAGGTCTAAAAGGGAAGCAAAATTAAGCAGTATGAAGWGCAGAGCTATAATCAGTTCTGTACAGGGAGATGAAAATACGTCTTTTGGGGTCATGTTATCTSACTGAACCTATTACATAGTCTCAACTTTAGCTAGGTAGAGGGACATAGTATTTTTGACTGATGTTAGCTCCCATTTTCAGAGACTCATTTTAAAGGCCAGTGTTCCAGCAATAAATTTTTTCAGTTTGTGATCTTTATAACTCGAAAGAAAAGCAGATTAGAAATTACCATTGCATTTGGCACATACTGCACTATTATCCAGCATCCCAAGAAAAGAATCACTGCAGCTGAGGATGCAACCAAGGAACTAAAACTTTCAGAGAACGTTWCTTCCTCTTCACTGTTGGAAGCTTTGCCTGATTCTGCAACAAAAAAGTTCAGGATCCTCTGGAAATTCGGGTTTTTGATCCTCTCCTGTCTGCCATAATCCTTATGTCCTTCTGGAGTTTTGTTGTGGGTGTGAACCAGATGTGTTCAGACCCGTTCCTGTGTCTTTTGGAGCTGCTGCCAGACTGGCCTCAATGAAACRTGTCACTTCACCTTCCTTTAGGTGAAGATAGATCCATGTTTTTGCAGTTTAGCAACATCTGGGGCTGGTAAATACTTAAGTAGGGAATTGATAACCCTGACAAACTGTGAGCCTGGAAAGAACACTTGTCTGCAGTGCAGAGCAGCTCTCCGGCCCTCTCTCGATGTGCCTTTCTCTCCTTGCAGGCGGTTTGCTCACGCCATCTGCCGGARCCTCCCGCTGGAAATGCTGGGGGAGACTCGGCTGAGAACACAAAGTGGGAAAAACAGGGAAAAATGTGCCTAGAACAGAACCACCCGGTGTGTGCCATCGGGACTGGGAGAAACCAGCTGGGAACAACCATCTCCAGGATGCCTCAAATGTAAAGAATAATGAAAGGTTTGTTTGTGGTTGCATTCATTACTGGCTGTTTTTAGAACACACAAAACTACTGAAGTCAGTTACATTTAGAATTGTGCACTTCTGTTTTTTATGGCATATGCTGCTGTGCAGAAAATAGGACTCTGAAGGTAGTTTAGTCAAAACTGATAATTACAAAGTGGATTAATTTAAAATGGTTTACTGGTTATGGAAACTAAAGCATTGTTTCAAAAGTAGCGGACCATGGAGTCATTTCAGTTATACAATAATATTTTTCTGTGCATTTTAGACCAGAACGCAGTGGCTAATGATAGACTTTGAGAACTTCTACAGTTCTCTTGTCACCTCTTTGGAATCTCAACTACCCTTTACATTAATATTTTTTTCTTACAAATACAGGCCAAATGAAAGGTTTATTTGCAAGGCAGCTTCTTATCAGCACTCTGTTCTGSAAAGATTGTTTCATGTCACCTGAAGCTAAATGTCACAATATAGTKTGTTTAAACAACATGCTTCACGATGGGAGAAGTCAGCCTACACCAAAAATCCCTCATTTAGGTTTTTGGCAAAATTTGTATAAAATCCAGAATTTCCCTTACAGAAACATAAATTGTGCTGCAAAATGTCATTAAATTCATGCCTATGCTCACATATGCTGTGGGGAATGCCTTACTGTCTAGTGACATTTCCAACGATTTTATGAGAGTTTCCTTATGGTTACAGCTGGCTTGCAAGGTATTGATGTCTTTTAAAGTAGTGGGAGCATCAAACTGTGTCAGTCAGTGCCATTGTTCTTGTTTCTGCTGTGTGTAGTTACAGTTAACTCCTCCCAGGATTTGTTCCCTTTTTTGGTAACCAGCCTTGGCTCTAAGTTACACCGTTAGAAATGATTGGATGGCCTGCACCCAAAATTGAACACTGAATACAAACACTGCTTTTCTGACATGACTTGACCTTCTCATAATTGCTGCCATCTGGGGATTGGTATCAGCCTGCTCCCATCTACTGTCATTGATTCTTCAAGTGGCAGTKTGGCTCGTGAGTGGAAAGGGGTGTGTGACCTTATTGCCTATCAGCCAATGCTGAAAAGTGAAATGTAAATACCTGCTTTGTTTTCAGGCTTAAACAGCTATAGACTTAAAATTTAGATCTTTTTATTCAAAGCTAAATTTTCAGAAACGTTTACCATATCACTTTCATGATTATCTGTGACACAGCACTGTCACCTTTGGCAACCAGTAAGTCTCTAATAGGAATAAAGCCTGTAGTAGTCCATAGCAGCAAGCAGGCTTACTCAAGGGAATTAGGAATTAGCCTTTAGTAATACCCTGAGTAGACGTTTGCACATCCTCTGCCAGAGCTAAAAGAACCTCTGGATGTTAAAGGCTATGGGGAATACTTTGATTTTGGACTGAACTTTATCTTGCTGTGTCTAACTAACACACACCCCAAGGATGTGGTGCTTCCTTCAAGTCTGACAAGGTAGGTTCTTCTCATTCTTCTGCATCAAGGAAATCAGTAAGATAAATGGGTGCAGATTGGGTGCAGCTGAGAAGATAAATGTGGTCATCTTTTCTACCMCTCTCCTAGAGGCCATTTGCTTGGGTCAAGGATCTTTTGCAAAGCAGAAAGCTAAAAAAGGCTCATTCTACCTTCAACAAGATGAAAGCTGCCTATTTTTTTGTCTCAAGTGGTGGTTATCTCTTCCAGTGTGCCTTCTGATACTTGAACTTGAATTCATCCAAAGGGTTTAAATCTGAGCACTTTTTAAAAYAAAATAATATTTTTATATATCAAGACATTCTCTGTCTTGTATTTAATAGAACAGAGGGATTCTTTTTCTTATCTTCAAAATGAGTAACGAAGGTAAATTTCTAGCCATCTGACAGTTGCTTGAGGAGAAATTACAGAGGTACTTACATGTTTTGCTATGGACTTGTTTAATGCTTTATCAGAGTTCAGGGGTTTCAATAACCATTATACTTGTAGGCCAAAACATTGCTGATACACAGAAGGGTGAAAGAAATAGATGATGAATGAAAAATGCCTGATGCTGTAAGCATGATGCTAAGTAAAGGTTCTAAATTAACTGATTTTGCTTAACTGGTGTTGTTTTTGTTTCACTGTCATGATTTTCTCTTCAGAGATTCTTGATCTGAAGCAAAGGGATAGATCTCTGAACATTTGCATTTTATCTCACTTTACCAGCCACAWTGCAATCTATTATGGTCACAGTTACATAGAAATGAACACATGACAGAAAATTGAATTAGATCAATACATTTACTTTCTTAATATCTGTATTGATGATGTGGCTGCTGAAATGGAGTTTGGCATGGACTTAGTCACCAGCTGGGCCTTGAGTGGCTGAGGTGAGAAATTGCCTACACTGACTGTTCCTGGGATGAGAGCTTGGGAGTTTTGCAGGGACTTAGTGCACAGCAGCTGGGAAACACCAGTGTGTGTGAATGTAGCAACTGCAAAGAGAGCTCTATGGCAGGAATAAAACCKCAGTCTTATGGTCATCTGCCTTAGTTTCTGAGGGCTCACTCTTTTGCTGGGTGTGTGAGCAACCACGTGTGTTATAAATGTAAACCACATCTCAGACATTCTCTTTGCAGTACTAGCTGCCAGTTTCAGAGGTGTCAATGGGAAATTCTTCAAAGTGCCTTTCTACTTGAAATTTTTGTTAATTTTGCTGCAGAAATCTTGCTTGATGTACAATTTTTTGCCAGTAATACCARGTTGAATAATACCAACATGCATGTGCCTTCACCTTTTCATTGGACCACACAAATTTGGAAATCAAAAGTTCCAAAGTAAGTTGTGGGCAAACATAGTTCTTCCAAGAATCCATCTTGCAAGGATATTTTGGATAAAATATGGGTTAAACTAAGCAAGAGTAATGYATTGTCAAGGAAAGTGTCTGCAACTGGAGTCACTCAGGGATACATCATCAGGACTAATTGCACATGTATGTATTCAAAGCTACAAATGCTTGCTTTCAGTCTTGTCTCCACTCAAGCCAGTTGTCAGACTTGCTTGAAACTACTTGGCATCACAATTAATTTGAAACCTTTTGTGTGAAGCTGATGCCAGGTTTTCATCTGCAAAATACCAGTGGTTCAAGTTGCCAAATCAACATGATTMTTCCTTGTTCATTTGGATTTTTTTTTCATTCACAGTTACAGCTGGATRTGTCCTGATAAAATAGTCAGTGTCCTGTTCATTGACTTTTGTTTTATCTGCTTATWCCCTCCTAAAGCAAAATGTCAAACTTCTGATTCAAATGTGTGGGCGCTGAGAATTAGCTGGCTGCAGTGAAATAATGTAACACTTTTCTAATTTAACAGTAGCCCAAACCTACAGGTCCTGGAAAAGCTTATTTCGTATCAACTTCATTAAAGGTGGAATTCAGCCTACTGCTGAGGGCTGGCTAAAGCCAATCTATGCTTAACTCTCCCTAAGTCCTAAAATATGCACTGCTTTTGTTTCTAAACTATGGCAGATTTTATGTGGAGAATTTAACACCTGTAAGGATTGGGCCCCAAAAGCTGTAGTAATTCCTAAGGGGGAAAAAAATCTGAAATGTTCTATTGCACAGCGCAAAAGAGTACTTCTTGTTGAACTAGGATTCATTTTCATAGTCAGGAAGTTTTCTTCATCTTTTGTCAAACTAGTCTTGGATTTCATTATTTACAAGTTTTCTCTCAAGACAGTACCTACTCAKAAAATTTTCTTGAAGCCTTCATTTCATTGCACTTCTGCTGTCTTGTTGCACACGAGGATGAAAATTTTTGATGATGTGTGGGGAAATTTTTCACTTTTATCTCTGCTGAGGCTGGAACTCTTAAAAAGACCGAGTATCAAATGAGACCAGCTTGGTAAGTTCAGCAGCAGCAGCATGGTATGATGGGGATGTGTGGTACTCTGCCATGCAGGCAGGAACATTGCTGTTCCAGTGATTCTGCAGTGGTGACWGTCCAGAGSTTTGCACAGCYGGGTTTTGGTGGCAYTTACACTGTGCCTTCAGGAAACAGTGACTGATGTCAGCTCAGTGTTTGGGTTAGCCAGTTTTCCCAGGTACAAATGTCAGCCATGTTATTTGGAACACTGGGCTGTGATTGTTTCCTTGAGTAGAAAAAGAAAGGAATGTGAGGAAACCCTGCCAAAACACAGTTTATTTCTGTGTCGTTCCCCCAGTCCCACTCTTTCAGTCATATGTTGATATTCTGATGAAAATCCAAGCTAGAGACCCTGGAWTACATTTGAATTAAGAAAGGTGAAGGAGAGAAGTCTGCAAAAATTACTGTGAACAGCCTGGACTGAGATGGCAGCACGGGCAGTTCCTGAAGTTGTGCAGACTCATAAACACTTTTTCTAGAAAAGTGTGAATGTGTGCACCAGAAAGAGGCTTCATGTGAGGAAGAAAATGCCTCCAGCTCTACCTCAGTCCCTGGGMACAGATGGACAAATGCCATTACACTTCCTGGTTGGACAAGTCACGATTCCGTGGTGCTCAGCAGGAAACAAAGCGCAAACCCCAAATGTTTGTGGTGTGGTGAGCTGTGATGGGGTGCTCAGGGGCTGGGACAGTGCACTTCAGCACTCAGCAGCTGCTGTGCTCATGGCCAGGGAAGCACAGTGCTTATGCTGTTCCTTCTCAGAGCTTCCTGTTGTTTGCAGTCAGGATGGAATATTGCTCTGCTGCCAAAGGAAGGCTGTTCCACTGCATCTCTGTGCTGCTGTGCAGGATGGTATGCTGGTGTCCTGTCTGGAAGCTCTCTGTGCTGCTTTGCTCAGACAAAAAGTTGACTGCCTAAATGTGAAGTGGTAGAGTCTAAGAGTTTCATAAGTCACACAATATAGTTTATAAAACTATTTAAAGAGCTTCTCCTTTCTCAAGGCACTTTAAAGTCAGTGTTACAGTAGTAATAGTCTGTGTCATATAAAACGTTCGTGTAGCTGCAGTCTAGATTGTGCCAGCTAATACAMATTTTACACTCCTGAGTTTTTCC